TTGTGTAAGAATTCATGGATGGATTCTGTAGTTACTGACATGTATATTTCATATATTGGACTTTTCTGGATTTTAAGTTTAAGATAATTGTGGGATATAATTCTTGGTTAGTCCAATATATAACTGTTATGCTATCAGTAAATTATGTTGAAATAGGTACTGTCATTATCTTTAGATAATGATGTGATCATGAGTTATGGTCACATGTTTGTTAAGTTTGGATTATGGGCAGCTATGGAACTATACAGTCACTACTAGAAAAATCCTGTATAGCGAGGGAATTGCTATGCAAATTCTGTCGCTAATTTCATCCTCGCTACTACTTTCCCTCACAAATTTGCGAGGGAAAGTAGTAGCGAGGATGAAATTAGCGACAGAATTTTCATAGCAATTCCCTTGCTATATAAGATTTTTCTAGTAGTGAGTCTATATCAAACCAATAAGTTTGTATGACAATTTACATAAAGTGTACGTAAAGAAAAAGTTAAATCACATAGTTTAGAAAGAACTACAGTAATACTTTAGTAAGTCTACCACTATTTTAACCAAGTATAATGCACTGTTATACAATTTTGCATATGTTAACAAACCGGTCTGGAATGAGGCTATACAACAATTGCAAGAGATTATTCATAAAAATTCAAATTGTCACGAAACACGTTTAGAAATAGTTTACCATTGTTAAAAGATCCTAGCATTTTCATTATAGTGAATCAATTTATCTCATGAAACAAATAGATTAAGAAAGCTTTTGAATAAATTAAAAAAAATAATTTTTATATTCAAATAATAATTTTAATGATTAATAATATAAAAATTTTATTATCAAATAGGCCACATTTTTCATTCTGTTCTTCCATGCTTAAACATTCAACATAAGAAAATAATAAAAAATAAATAATATATCATTTTTTAAAATAAAAATTAAATGCATTAATTATAATTTCATAATATGACACTAACTTTTCTTTCATTTTTCTCTATTCAGTCAAAAGAAGAGAATACATTTGTGTAAATTAATATTAGAAATTTTTGGAAATAATTAGGTAGAAAACTTGCTTAATTCAAACGTTGACATGGATGAGTTTTGCATTTGGGAAACTAGAGTTTTATGGATAAAGCTCGTTTCCTTTTGAAGTGGATGAATGAAGCAGCTTGTGGCCTTTCACATTATGCTTTGAGGGATACCGTTTTTGTCTTTTGAGGGTGGGACTTGTTACATTAATTTGTCTAGTCTTTATAGTCTCGTATGCACTCTTTTCTTGCCAAATTTAAAAAGGAAGTCCAAGCTAAAGCCAATCCTCTCTACCTTATGTTCCATTCTTCAACCCCCATAAGGCAAAACATCTTTCAAAAAACACAAACACTAGGCCAAAACTATGATAATTTCTCCAAATGTATTCTAAATTTTACAACCACAAAGAAATCAGCAATGTACTCCGTTTTTAAGGAGAAATTTTTGTGTATTTTGATATTACAATAATCCGCTAATGAAAACATAACACATAAACTATAAAACCATTAGGCCGTGTGACTAAAATTTATTAGTAAATTTAAATCAAATCTCAATTATTGAAAACGTTACTCTCAATAATATATTGAACTTGATTAATAATACTTGCTAAGATTTTACTCTTATACACTTATCATATATTATAATACAAGTTAATGAATATAACATTAGTCTGTCTCGCTACATATTTTCTTGAATAGTCTAGATCATAGTCTAAAGTCTTTTTAGTGGTTGCAAATATCATTTTCCATTTAACTTTTAAAAACTATTTTGGGTTATGCTGTGAGGTGGGGCTTGGCTTGTGTACCTCGTGTTTGGGCCACTGAGGGCAGCACCTGTTTGCTTGCGAAGCAGAGCCAAGTGGGAAAATTGGAGCTGTTTGGAGGAAAAGAAAGCCGAAAAACAAAAAGGAACTTGAAACAGGAAAAAGAAAAAGAGAACAAGGAAAGTGAGAGATAGAGAGAAAAAAAATATAAGGATAAAAAAAAAAAGAGAAAGCAAGAAAGAAAGCGAAATGTGAGAAAGGAAGAAAACAGTGCAGAAGAATTCCTTTTCTTTTTTCTCTCTCGAAATGTAAATTGTGATGGCGTAATTAACTTTTGCTTTTTCTCTCGACAGCAATCTTTAAAAATCGAAAGCATGCCCCTGAAACCAAAAAGCAACGAAAATTATAATGAAGATAATTTCTACATAGTTCTTTGAATTTCTTAAGAAAATGAAATATCATATTATAAATTGAAATGGATCATTGCTCTCATTGCAAGTCAAATAGTTCAATTAAAAGACTCAAATAAAAGGGGAATTTAAAGAAAAAAGAATTACATAAGTGTACAAAATTACTATAAACAGCTAAAAAAATATGGAATAAAAAAATATCATATTAAAAATTACTTTATATAAAAAATATTAATATTTTTTATATTGTATGAGATAATTTTATCTCTTATATACACATAAAAATGTGTGCGATACATGTGAGGTCATATAAAAAGAATAAAGAAAAATAATATGAGTCTTTTATATATATATATATATATATATATATATATATATATATATATATATATATATATGGGTTACAAGTGAGACCCATATGTAAGAGGAGAGAAAAAATAAAGAGTAAATACTATTTTTGGTCCCTAACAAAAAACACGGTCCCCACTTTAGTCCCTTACAAAAATAAATTAGTCAGTTAGTCCATAACAAATTCAAAGTGGACCCATTTAGTTGAAATAGTGGTCCCTCACAAATTCAAAAAAGACCCATAATAGTTCCTCAAAAGGACTAAAATGTGTCCACTTTGAATTTGTTAGGACTAACTAATTAATTTATTTTTGTAAGGGAAAAGTGGAGACCATATTTTTTGTTAGGGACCAAAAATGGTGTTTACTCAAAAATAAATATGAGACCCACCTTCATTTTATATGTATAGGAAACTGGTTTATCTTATGTAACATAAGATATATATAACCCCATATATATATAGTGGGACCCACCTTCAATTTATATGTATAGGAACTGGTTTATCTTATCTAACATAAGATATATAGAACCACACACACACACATATATATATATAGGGATAAGATCCGTTTACAAATTATTTTTGCAAATTACACTAAGTACGATCGGTCGTATACTGCATGATTAAAATATGACCGGTCGTATTTAGTGTAGTTTATAAACAAAAAAATTTATAAATATAACCTCATCGGTATATGTATATATATATATAAAACATAACATCCTTAAATTAATTGTGTAAAAGTCAAATATTATATTAAAAAATCAATTAAATAATAATATAAATAAAAATTGAGAATATAATTTAATAATAATGTCAATCTAATGACGTGATGTACTTTATTGCAAGTCAGGAACAAATTATTTAGTTTGACTGAATTCATTAAAAAAACACATCAAGAGAAAATACCTAGACTAACCCAAAAATCAAATCACAAGTTTTCAAGTTTCATTAATGGGAATCAGTTTGTTGAAACTATTTACCTCCTGCAAAAAAATTAAAAAAATGTCCCGTCATGAATTTATGTGTCTGCCAGAGGGAAAGAGTTTCCTCTGCAACACGGAAATTTTTTCAATATATCAGATGTATTTATTTTGATATAATTTTTTTAATAGGAAAATTATTTTTTCATTTATATCTTTGTTTTTCTTTATTATTTTTATTAAATCCTATTTTTTTCATTTTAGTAAAAATATATCTACATATGATGTAATTAGATGTATCCAAAGTTTTTTCATGCAATACAAGAAACTCATTTTCTTATATTGGGAATTGTTTTTCTTATATTTATATGATAACTTTTTTTATACGTACACAAATTTTATATGAGATTCATTTTAATTTTTTTTTATTTTTCCTCCTCTTTATTTCTTTTATGAGTATACGAAGATTATTTTTATCTTATCCAACATAAGAAAAATATTCTTATATATATATATATATTTATATATATTACTTTGTATTATACTACTAACCATATGTCCTATATAAATTATCTATATACTTAAAATAATTAATATTAAATAATAAAAGATATATGATAATAAATGTTATTTTCTAGGTTAATCTTTAATATTTATTTTTCTAAATTTATTATTAGCAATTACTTATTAAGGATCGAAAAAAGAGAAAAATATTAAAATTATAAATATTTTTTATTCATTTAAATATGTAAAGATTAACATAAAAAGTAAAGTTTAATTTTTTAATCATAATTATTTTTTAAACATTTTTAACTTATTATGATATATTTTAATTTATCCCAAACTCTTTTTTTTTTTGGTAAGCTTATCCCAAACTCTCTTTACTATCATTAATGATTTGTTTATAGTTCATTTTAAATACCCTTTATTACCATTCATATTTTAGTAAAAACTTTGAATTCGTAATATCATTTAATACTCTAATAAAAGAGAGTAATCATTCAGGTACTTAACGTGAGATACATTGACCAACATAGGATAAAAGAATTACAATATATCCGATGCATTTAGAATTTCTTCTGTCATAAATGCTTAAGTTTCTTTGACAATTGAATTTTTTCCATATATTTATTTCTTAACTTATTTTATTCTTGTAAAATGTTTAAAAAAATAATATATCATTATTTGCTCACAAATAAATTTACTTTAAATTAAACTATATCTTTTTGAACATATTATTATAATAATAATGAATAGAATAATATTTTTATCTATAGCCCTGTATTATACGTTTTATTTTTCCATTTTATAAATTCCTCACAACTTTTTTCTCTTTCTTTCTCCTATCTCTCTCCCTCTTCACTTTCTCTGTGTCCGTTGGAACCAAACAGTTCTCTCTCTCTCTCTCTCTCTCCCCCTTTCTCTGTCATACACACACAGAGAGACAGAGACAAAACACGCACGCACTCGCACTCCTATCTCTGCTCTTCACTCCTCTCTCTCCTTCTCTCTCTCTCTCTCTCACACACACACACCTTCTTCTTCTTCTTTCACACCGTAATATGACCACACTCTTAACCTTCACACACCACCATTCACGGTTATGAATCCCACACAACCTCAACCTCAACCACAACCACCGCCACTGTTACCACCAACACAACAACAACAACAACAACCACCGTCGCAACCACACCGTCCTTCCTCCTCCTGCGACCGCCACCCACAGGAGAACTTCACCGGCTTCTGCCCCTCATGCCTCTGCGAACGCCTCGCCGTACTCGATCCCAACTCCACCTCTTCCACTTCCACCTCCCGCAAGCCACCCACTTCCTCCGCCGCCGCCGCCGCCCTTAAGGCCATCTTCCGACCCTCCGCCGCCGCACGCGGCAACAGCCGGCCACCGACCTCTTCTTTCATCCCCGAGCTCCGCCGCACCAAGTCCTTCTCCGCCTCCAAAAACGAGGGCTTCTCCGGCGCCTTCGAGCCCCAGAGAAAATCCTGCGACGTTAGGGTTCGCAGCACCCTCTACTCCCTCTTCAACCAGGACAACGAACGCAAAATCTCGAAGAATGATGGCTCCCGCGTCGCCGCCGGCGAGGTCGAAACAAGGAACCTAGCTTCATCTTCCTCCGTTGTTCAGGTACCAGTCATCGAGTCAGAGGAAGAAGAAAACGTCGTCGTTTTGGAGGAGGACGAGGACGAAGACGAGATTAGGGTTTTGGAAGAACCAGAACCAGAACCAGCACCAGAACGAGAACGAGAAAGAGAGCCACACAATGTCGTTGCATTGGGCAATGTGATTGAGGAGAGGGTTCAAGAAATTGTAGAAGAGGAGCCAGAAGCGGAACCAGAGTTAGTTGTTGGAGAAGAAGAGTTTTTGAAGCCGATGAAAGAGCACATCGATCTGGATTCGCAAGCGAAGAAGAGTTCCGTTCGAGATTTCAAAGAAATTGCAGGGAGTTTCTGGTCAGCAGCATCGGTTTTCAGCAAGAAGTTGCAGAAATGGAGACAGAAGCAGAAGATGAAGAAGCAGCGTTGTAGAAACGGCGCCGTTGTGGGTTCTGCCACTCTGCTTCCCGTTGAGAAGCCAATCGGCCGCCAATTCAGGGAGACACAGTCGGAGATCGCCGACTACGGCTTCGGCCGGCGATCTTGCGACACCGATCCGAGGTTCTCACTGGATGCCGGCCGGATGTCGTTTGACGATCCCCGGTACTCGTTCGAGGAGCCAAGGGCTTCCTGGGACGGTTACTTGGCCGCGGCAAGGACTATTCCAAGGATGCCTACAATGCTGTCTGTGGTGGAAGATTCTCCAGTGGTGCCAGTTACGAGGATCGATGCTCAGATTCCAGTGGAGGAACCGATGAACGCCATCAATGAGAATGAGGATGAGACACTTCCTGGTGGTTCTGCTCAGACCAGGGAGTATTACTCTGATTCTTCCTCTAGGAGGAGGAAGAGCCTTGATAGGTCTAGTTCCATAAGGAAGACTGCAGCTGCGGTTGTGGCAGAAATGGATGAGTTGAAGCCTGTTTCAAGTGTTACCAATTCCAATGCTAAGGTGACTCCTGCTAGTGCTGCTGATTACTTCCATGGGCAGAAGATGGTTTTACCTGATAGAGATTTGAGGGATTCCAATTCCAATTCATTGAGAGATGATTGTTCTGAGACTTTTGAAGTGGGGTTTAGAGATACTGCTTCTGTGATTGGGAATAATGGTGATCGGAAAGGGTCTAAAAAGTCGAGCAGGCGGTGGAGCAAGGCGTGGAACATTTGGGGTTTGATACACCGGCGAGGAGGAGGAGGAGGAGGGAACAAAGATGAGGATGAGGATAGTAGGTATAGTAGAGGTAATGGCAATGGGGTGGAGCGTTCTTACTCGGAATCGTGGCAGGAGTTTAGAGGGGAAAGGAATGGGGATGCTAGAGGTGGTGGTTTCAATCGCAAGGTGTTGAGGAGTAATAGCAGTGTGAGTTGGAGAAATGCACAGAGCATAGGTGGACCATTTGGCAATCTGAGGAAGAATGATGTTCAGGCTAATGGGCATGGAAGGAAGGCCAGGGATGAGTTTGTATTGGAAAGGAACCGCAGTGCAAGGTACTCTCCTAACAACATGGACAATGGTCTCTTGCGGCTCTACCTGACGCCTACGCGAGGCGGCCGGAGAAATGGGTCGGGGAAAGGTAGGTCGAACCAGGCACATTCTATTGCAAGAAGCGTACTTCGGTTGTATTAAAATTGAAGTTCCATAAGGTGTTCTTTGGTTTGATGTTGTTAGATTTGCTGCAATTTGTTGTGTAAACCACACATGCCTATGTATTCTTGATGGTTGGTTGGTTAATTGGATAAAGCACCCTTCATTTTTCTTTTACAGTGAGAGTAGCATGGTTCTTTAATTGCTCTTAATAACAAGAATTTTTTATGTTTCTTTTTACTCTAACCGTATGCTGATGATGTTAATGGCATGAATGTTTTCCGTTTAGTTCCATGGTTTCTTTCTTTAATTGCCAGAAAAAGTCTGGGGCATATGGCTTGATATATGGCGCTACTGAAAATTGTGCTTTGCCTTTGGACACGATATGTTTTCTTTTTCTGTCTTTATGCTGCAAAAGGTTAGCTGATTGGTGTAAGGTTGGGAGGCTTATAATTTGGGAGCATTTTAGCATAAATTTTTGGCATGTTATGTTTTCCTGCAAAAGTGGTAACAAGGTGGGCTCATGCCACCTGGTTTTGCTTCTTGTCATAAGTTGTAGTTTTGAGTACAACACGATAGCTGTGGTCGAGTGCTTTTTCCCTTGATATCAATTAATCAAACTTTATTACATGTGACTTACTCCAGACAATGGTCCCCAACAAGACATTACCTTAGCTTTGTTATATCGATTTATTTATGTCCATTCCATGCTGGTGTTACTAGAAGCTTTGAAAATTTTCCGTGGTTAAGAGTTTTGCAGAACTTCGACTCAATATTACCAAATATCTAAAGTGTTGTCACTTGTATTTTCGAGATTGTTTTGATATTGAAACTTTTCTGAGAAGCCGAAACATTTTCACTTCTATGCACAGTAACCTCAATGTGATTTTTTTTGGCTTGGTTCTAGTCACCAAGGAAATTGAAATACCTTAAGACACTTGCATTTGGGTTTTACCAAGACACTAAACAAAGTGTAAAAAAAAGAAAAGAAGGAAAAGAAAAGGATTAACTGTAAGAGAATAAATAAAAATAAGAATTCAGAAGGGTAGTAGCCCTGGCCCTCCATGTTTGTAAAAGAACGATTTTGCAGATTCTTTGTGTTTGAGCTACTGACTGACTTGAAACTAGAGGAATATTATTGCAACTGGCATGTTGGGTCAACATCATTTGAAGCTTGATATGTTTTTCCTTAATGTAGTGATTTAGTTGGTACATAGAAAGAGTGGCAGGTCCTTACCTCCTTTGTTCCTTTTCCACAAATATTATTCTGAACCTGTCTCTAATTATTTACATTTTTTCATACACGCTTTTATATTATTGTCCTGATAATCAGGAATTTCAAGAGTCCAATGTTGTCATTGCTCAGGATTTTGCTTATATGCAATGAACAATGTTGTTTTTACTGGCTTGCGTGTGTTTGAACAGTTGAGAATTTATTGGATTTTTCAATTGTTTCTTTTTTATTTGAATATTATTACTTGGGAGATGCTTTATTTTCTTAGACTCGCATATCAAAAGTAAGCAGTTTCTGGTTGTCCCTATACAGTTTTATGAAACTTTACCCAAACAAATAAGAGTTTTCTGAAAGAGAAACTCCTAAACTCCAATAACTACTACAGGAAAAGGGAAATGATGCACAACATATGGGTCGGTTCTCCGGTAAACAATGGCATAAAATTTGAGTTGTGTCGGTCCATTCTTCATTATTCATCAACTGCCTTTTAAATTTTACCTCGATTTGTCAATATTTCGATGGATCACCTATTTCATAAAGTTTAAGCTTGGAGTTACATATCTAAGAACGGTTTATATCTTGTTACATGAATGTACATATATTTAATTTTTTTTTTTTTTTTTGAGGAAATGGTTGTTTCAATCTAATGAATTTTAAAGACTTTGGATCCAAAGAACATCTTCGGATTAGGTCAAAGATAAGACAAGCTTTTGTACTTATAGGCTATAGCACTTATAAGAAACTTATAAATAATTTACTATCATAACATTCTTCAATTTGGATGTTGTGCATTTGTAGAGGACCATATATTTTCTAGATTTGTAACCCCAAATACCTAAATTTGTTATAATCCATGTCATATTTCAACCGTCAAGGGCGTAACGAACATGTGTCTTCCTATGTCAAAGATCAAGATAGGCTCTTGTAGTTGTAGCACTTATAAGAAACTTACAAATAATTTACTATCATGACATCCTTCAATTTGGACTTTATATGTTTGTAGATGACCAAATATGTCAACTTCAGAATAAATTTGGAACGTGAAGCAAGATAAAGATAAACTTATTTAAATTTTATGTTAAAATTCTTTATTTGTTTTTTAAATAAAATTCTTTATTTTAATTATAGAAATGTTGACAAAAAAAGTAATCATATAATTGCATTTTTCAAAAAAAAATTACCCTATTAATTATGTTTTCAAATATTTTACCCAATTATTACAAGTAGTTGTACATACATCCAATGCACAATTAGTTACATATGTGGTACATGCACAAATGTCACGTGACAATCTATCGTAAGATACACATATAACACATGTGCAACTAGTTGTGCACCAAGTTTGTGCACAACTAACTGGATTTTTTTTCATGTGGCACCATCGTGGTGTAATGATGTTCAAATGTGGAAATAAACCAATACATATTAGATGCGACATAATGATCGACAAACTTGCTCTCAAACTAGTGAATACATTCACCTGTAGCTTGCTCGCAATAGTGCACCGCAAATTGCATCATCGTCTACACTTTCAATAGTAGACACATACCACAACTGATGAACATGAAGATGACCCTAGGTTAATGACGGATGAAGATAATGACGACAATGACCATATATTACTTTGGTAGGTGTCACAATGATTATGATGGTGTGACGTGGCAAAATTCAATTACTTACATATGCACTTAATGCACAACTAGTTGCGCACGTGGTATGTGGGCAATTCACGATAGCTTGTCACGTGACAATTGTGCACATAATTTACAATTAGTTGCGGTGCACAAGTGACTGCATTAGTTATATAAAATATTTAAAAATAACACTAATTCGTTAATTTTTTTAAAATGCAATTATATGATTGTTTTCCCCAAAAATGGAAGCTACAACGACCAAAACCTCGACTTTTTGGTAAATAAATTCTAAACTCTTAAATGGAATAAATGTTGGAATAAATTTTTTACCTATATACAAGTCTTATTATTGTTTTTTTCCGCTTCATTTGAAAGAGTCTATTTGTAGGAGGAGAGATAACAGTTAGGTTTCAAATTACTGTATTTTTGTTGAACTATCTTAAATTATTATTTAAATGTGTAATTTTAATATTTTCTGAGACAATGTATATCATAATAGTTAAAAAAATAAATTAATATAAAGTTGTGAAACTGTTAAACTTTCTGTTAAATTTTTTTCAACCATCAAATATTTACTAACATTTTTGAAAAATAATTACACTTCGAGGCTTGAGCAAAGAAAAACTATAGACAGCACGGTAAGAAAAACAAATAAATAGGCGGGTGACTTTTTCTATCTTGGGTTTTTAACTTGGAAGGGCCCATGTGCCAAACTCTGACTTATCTTATTAGGACAAACTACTTAGGGAGTGTTTGGTTTAGGGTAAATTTTATGAATAATAGGAAAATGTGATATATAGGGAAATGGATGAAAAATGAGATAGATAGATAAATGTAAAAAAATGTTGTTTGGTTGGAAAAAATTTTACCGAAGAAATTAGGTAATTTTTTTAAAATCTATGTTTGGTTGTAAGTAAAATATAGATGAGGAAATTAGGTATGTTTACAAAAATAACCCTGTTTTTACAATATTTTTACGGGGCATGCTACTTAACCCGTATAGCCTTCAACCTGATAGCAAGAAACTGAAATTTCAACAGTGGATTTCATCTGGGTATTTTCAACAATGCGGGTATCAACAGACTTCAACCTCCTCCTTTCAAGCACAACGTCACTCTTCCCAGCATGGGACCCAACGCAAAACGCAGACCTACAAAGCCCAGAACCCAAATCGCCATGAGAGCCCAATAGGGGAGCTTTTGGGTCACAATAACTGATTCGAATAACCCCATACAGAGAAGAGGGAGCTATCACTGCAGCATTAGCAAATGCCATGAGCTCTCACTTCCATGCTTCCCTCTGCCTCACCGCAAGTTTTCGTGTTTGGAAGTGAGAAGAGGGAGAAGGGGTACGTTCGTCTTTGGCATAAAAAATGAAGTGAGAAATTGTCCTGCTTTTTGTAAAAACCACCTACTCAGAGGAGTTTCTTGGCTGGCTTTTTAAGGACAAAATGCTATGTATCTTGGTTTCCTATGCATCTTCGTTTCCTACGCAAATGAAGAAGGACTGCGAACCAAATACACCATTCTTAGTTTCCCACTACTCATATATCTATCATTCTGAAAATATACCCCAAATCAAACACCCCCTTAAGAAAAAATAAATAAATAGGCGGGACAAAACTATACAATTTTGTTTATTGGGGTACAAACAAAACTATAGAATTTGATGAAAAAGAATCTGAAATTGAATCAATAGTGTTATGCTCTTATTCTATGAAGCACCAATACTTCAAAAAATTTGACGTGTCGTGTCCGACACTCTGACATTTTTCAACACTTCAATACTCGTTGCAAAGGCTCAAAAAAGATTCAAAAATTATGTTGCGTTACATTTTGAGTTCCAACTATTAGATTCGTTAGATTATGATTACGATTTTATTGAATTTAATATCAACATTTTAAGTATATTATGTTTCTTTGTAAAATTGATGGGTATTATAAGTTTAGCTTTATTTTTTCTTAAATTATTGAATACCAAATATAATATATATCGCATAAATTAAAAATATTATATCATATCAAAACGTGTCAAAATTTAACATTTTTTAAAATTAACGTGCCGGAGTATCGTGTCGTGTCGTATCTCGTGTCCCGTGTCGGTATCGATGCAACGTAGCTGTTACTTCAAACTTTATACCATTAACCAGATTAATTTGATTATTTTGATAAAAAGTGATTATTATGTAAAATTGTAGTTAGTATCGTTTGTCGGCCCATAAATTTCGTTCATAAAATATTTAATTTATTTATACATTTCTTTATACTTTCT